GTAGGAATAAGTGAATAGCATAAATCGAGGGTGAGTACACCCCACTCACTGTATGATGACTTGATATATTGCTCATTGCTTATTGTCAACCTCGTACGTTCTAAGGTCCTTATTGCTTATGATAAATATTAGTCCTTCATCATGGTCCTTCGTAGTTTTGAGACATCCGCCATCTTGATATTTTTTCATTACCATGATGTACTTCGCCAAAACAGACGTGACGTCATTAGGGGGAACGGTAGTTCGGTTTCTAAGGAATTGTCATGACGAATGTAACCATTGTCCCCTTGTATGACTGAGTATTGTGAATATAGATTGTAGATGGTACATACTGTATTCCAATTGGGACAAAAGTCAAAACCATTACATGGAAAGCAAATCGGCACAGAATTGTGGACGCTTCGAATTCATTCAAAGCTCATAACATCACGTGTTTTATTCATCCGATAGACTTTCAGGTCGTCATAACAACGTAAATAGTAGAAGAAGAAGGTTCACAAAAAATGTGTGCGACATGCTTCAGTTCCAAACAACGTGTCCGACGTATCCTATAATTATAATGTATTATTTATGCCAAATTGTCGATCTTCATTAAAATTGCATTAAAGACGGTTATTTTAAAGTGGTTTTCTTAAGACCGTGTAGTACGATTACTAATCGAGACCTTTGGGTACCTAGGTGAGCATGATACAAAATACAAGGTCCATGGCTTACTGAATGGCATCACCGAGAAACTACTCCTTTTTCCCGTATTTACGTGTACGGGCACGGGCTTTAATAGGAGACTCCTTGTTTTGAGTCGTGAGAAATTCTTGTTCATGGACAAAATAACACGCTATTTACCTACTTGAGTCTTTTATTGCTTGTCTTATCAGCTTGTGATGAATAAACATGAATTTATGGTCTGCTGAGTTCATATCTTTCCATATTTATAGTAACAGTTACGACTAACTGCCATCTTAAATACACTAGTATTTACCAGTCTTACGCGATTCCCTAAGTGAGAGTTGCCCACCTCTTTGCCAATGGGATCATTAGATTTTGTACCACGTGATCATTTTGAATCGTCCAAAGCTCGATGCAGGTAAAATAACACGCTAATTTCCTGTTTTCATAATTTCCACCTTACATCATTCAAACAGCAGTCCCCTATAATACTCTACATTCAACTCTGCTGTTCTTGGGTGATGACATAATAGGCATTTTCTGAGATAGCAGTTTGCATTGTATTGTGGTCTAGATGATTCGATACAAACATTTTTTGTTCATGCTGCCAAACATGATGTGTTGTTTGTACTGAATCTAGACCACAATGCACTATGAGGAGGAACATTAACACAAAGGCTGACTACAAAAACGTATCAGCTTGGAAGAAGTTTAATTAGGGTTTGATTATATGAAGCAGACTGGCCGGTTCAAGGGCCTGTTCACACTACGACATAAGCATGTCGAACAAAAGAAAAGAATCAAGCCGCCAATGGCAACACAACTCGAAGATTGATTGTGCAGACGAATACAGAAGGATATAATAATGAATCAAATTATAATTACTTAACGAATAGAATTTTAAATAAACGATTTATGAATATAGTTTTATTATTTAACTTCGGTTCTGGATAAACACAAGCGAGCGCCGGTGAGATGAATACCACTCGAGCTACAACTATGAGTAAATGCCACGACCAGAAGCGCTACATCTGGATCCGAAAAACAAATAAAATCACCGCAAGTGTCAAAAAACAATAACAACTAAATCCCTAAGAAAACTTGGATGTATAAAACTATTTCACTGAAAATTGTGGACAGAGAAGTTTAATT